AAGAAGATAGAAAACTGCACTCGCGGCAACCTGGTATTATGCTTCCCTTTTTCTGCTAAATGAATAGGGTATATATTGTGTACATGTCAAGGCGACTTATGGCTCGTTTTGCAAGATTTTTGAAAAATTAAAATTTACTTTTGAAATCACGTTATCTGGTTAGAAGAGTTTTTAGAGAAAATTGATCCAAGTTTGCTTTCTCAAAAAGTTCTTCTAGAAAAAGAAGTAGCAAAAAATAAAAGTCTCATCGAACGAGTCCTTATTACATTATAACTATAAAGAAATATCATAATCGTTTTTTAATACAATAATTTTAAAATGAATTATGTCTTTTAGTTCAATTAGTCATTGCCTTGTAAGGATGTTAAATTTGAACGAAAATAACATAACATGATCAAATAAGAAAATTGAGCCTGTGTTTGGCTAAATTTACAGATTGCTTAAAATCGATAGAATCACTTTTTATTCACAAATTTCGTGGACAAATATTTATTATTTACTTATCTATCACTTATTTCTATCTATTTATAATCTAAATTGTTTATGAACACTTTCCAAATTAGAGTGATTCTATCATGTAAAGTCACCATTTCCACTAAATTGAGAAAATATATAAAAATTAAATTTCAAGAATTGGAATTTTAGAGTATGTTTGGCAAAGTTTTTTGCTGATTATAAGTTGATTAAACATTACTTCTATTGCACATATTCCGTATGAATGTTCAAAATTTTTATTTATTTTTCATCAAAAAGTTTCACAGAACTGACAAACTTATAATCTACAAAAACCTTACTAAACATACGCTACGAAAATTCAGTAATTCATCTCACAACGCTAGACTTCTTCATGTCAAATCTAAATATGATACCTCTTTAAACTTCAAAAAACTTGAAAGTAACCGATTGTAATATAGTAAATCTTATATAAGCACACTACACCAGAAACCGCCTATGGCAACGCGCGAAAAACGTTGCCATAGACTTTTGGCAGCGTTCGGATGCACGTTGGGAAGTTTGATGTGGCCGTAGAGTTTCAACTTTTGACAGCGTTCATCGACCGTTGCCGTTGCCTAGTTTCCACAACGTGCACAGCACGTTGCCGTAGACGTATCCGCAACGT